ATGGTCCCTGTAGTTGCAGATGTCCTGTGGATGTCCCCGTGGAGACCACAGTGACAGGCAAATCCGGAACCGGATGCGGCCAAGTTTCGGATTTCCACCGAATAGCATGCAAAGGTTGGCACAGACCAGTGCGTGATCTGAATCGAGGTAGGTAGATTAAAATGATCTAGTCTTGTATGCTTCCACGCCACCTGAAACTGATTTCAATGTGGTCTATTTGGCACCAAGCCTGAGACGGTGAAGGGGGACGCCAGGTGGCAGAGCGTCTCCTCTAGTGCCTGAAGTTTGTGCATGCAAGAAATAGGCTGTTGTCTTCGCACAAATTGAGAAGCTTGATTCCGTTATCCGAATGTCTCTTGTTCAGTGCATGATGACCAACCAGTTGATATTCACCTGGGAACAGTCGACCGACGCGTGCGATGAAGTCTCCGGCGAGGACAGCGACGTCCGCCATAGCAGCCTTGCGTAATAGCTGATGAAGGTGGTGGTAAAAAATGTCCTTGTTCAGTTCAGAGCTACAATCGGTTGACACGTAAGCAAAAACTACAAACACTTTGCGCCTTTCAGCGCGATGTCTGATAATTTTGCATAAGCCTTGGAGGCGAACTACACATAGTCGGCTGTTAACTGGGAACCAATCAAGGACTGCAGCCTCGGCTTTGTTGTTAACGCCACACTAACGCCAGCCAAACCAGCGGAAGCAGCTTCTGCGTCGCTAGATAAACGTAACTGGCATGTGACTTCCTGATTGGTCGGCGATTTCAATTTGAACACAGTACTTAAGTTCTTTAATCGCGTTTTGGAAAGGCAGCAGATATCAATGTCGAGGGAACTCAGAGTACGTGCAAGGCCGGCCTGTTGCCAAATCTGCATAAGCGCCCGGACATTGAGGGTTGCCAGCCGGAACGAAGATCGGGGTCGAAGAATAGCTTCAGGCAGGACATCACGGGTAGCAGTAAAACCGGTAGCGGGGTCAAGTCGATGGAAACAGGGGTTATTAACAGAAGAATGCTTGGCGTGTGAGGAAAATTGAGGATTGAGAAGCGAAGGAGGCAGGAGCGAGAGAATGCGAAACAGCGATGTAATCCATGGTTTTGGAAGCGGGTGCGATACTACCCGGTTGCCCAGGCCGAAGTAGGGGGTTGACTTAGGGGACACCATCGCGGGCATTTGGCTCAATAGCCTACCAGCAAGGCAGCGGAGCGAGTTCAAAGAATCGCGCCCTTCCGGGAGCCGGTGACCGATTTCTCGGTCAAAACGCGTTCCGTTTGGTAAGATGCCAAACAGGGACCCAATCTTCCCCAGGGTAACAGCAGTCGGCGGCTGGAATACAATTCTCCACCGGAGTGAAGCAAGGGGCAGTGACTTTATTTAGTGGCGAGTCAAATCCGCCACTTCGCAGTGTTGTTAAACCCTAGCCAGGCGAAGACCCACCACGTACTGGCACACTGCATAAGCGAGATGTGTCGTCTAACTCCATTTGGAAGTACGCGTGACTGTGGTCGATCTGTGTGAAGTTTTGTCCACCTGCCAGCGTAGCATACAAATCCTCAACCCGAGGTAAGGCATAACTAAACGCATAGTTTCGGCCATTCAGCGTACGTACTGTGTTGCGGAGGCGGTACTTATCAACAGAACCCGAAAGTTGCCGTTACCTTCAGTAAAGGAAGATGAATCCGTCGGCGCCCAATCACAGTGTGTTCACCAATTCGTGTGTGATCGCGGCATCAGTAACATCAACAGAACCGAACGGGCTTTGGATGCCAGAGTAAAGGAACACTTACCAAACGGTTCAACGCGGTTACTCAGTCCCCCTCTGACGATACGTGTTAGCGTAAGCCGCCGGCGTCCTCCATAGGCAGGCACACTTTGGAGACTCGTAACCGGATTGATCCCTTATCGGCGTTCCGGATCTTGTTACGTCATACAAATTCGCGCCTTTTGCGATTTGCAGAGGCCGTCGCGATAAGCCAAATTAGACCAGCTTTACATGTCAAAAATGAATTTGTTGTCAACATGCGGTTGCCGTGGTCCTAGTGCCAACACAATGACCCCATCCATGAATGTGATTGGCTTGACTGTGTCCTATGAGACTTGTAAAAAGATTTCCAAGTTATTGTATAGGTACTGACGAGATAATACGAAGTGCTAGCATCTGCCAATATTCGTTTTCGCATTTCACTGTGCAATAGACCAGCTTTCCTGTGGGATCCGTGTGGCCTCCCAAAATAAAGAGCACCCGAGGCGTCGTCGCATCAGATTATTGTTGATGTCAAACGTAAGGCATATATATATATATATATATATATATATATATATATATATATATATATATAGCAGGATGCCACAGCACACGGATAACCAGAGGAAGAAGAAAGTTAATCATGCGGGACCATATCTGACATCGTTTCCAATGATGTTTGCTCGCTGTTCCTGGGCCCCCTTGCCGGGAGTCGGGAATCCCCTGATGCGGCAAAATTTAATGTCGCTGCCATGACACCTCGAACACGTTACGCGTCGGTCGTGCTTCCGTCGCTCTCAATCAATACCGACCAGTGTAAAAAGAGAAAGGTGGAGCAAGTTCTGAGCAGGCATACGAAGAAGTTCCAAAACCACCGGAGCAACGGTAGGGAATTTATGCGGCTCGGCGGTCGATTGAGTTTCTCTGACGTGAAAATTCGATGGCAAAAGTGCTCGTTATTAATGCGGTCATTCTCATACACCAGCGATGCTCCGAAGGCAGAGGTGGGAAAATACAGACAGTCTTTGAAAGTGTATGGTTCTTACCTGATTGAATTTGTTTACGGCCAATCACAAAAACTAGGGCTTCCTGGTAGATGGTAAATGGAATATCATTAGGATGTATTCAAACTAGATTTACGTATTACATCGGTCAAAAGAAGTGGCACACGAACGAGAGTTTTCATCGCACAATTTATTTTTTTCCACAGAATATATCAACTGCGACTGCCCCCATATTGTTCTGTGCGCGCACATTTAATTCCATTTTCACACTATTTTTATTCGGCAGTGCATTTAACTGGGCGCTTTTCACTCCAATCATCATACGGGACTTGTCAAGCAACCGGCGATTTACGCGTGATAAATCAATGTTCATTGTGGAGTTTGATCAAAACGAACAATTGCATTTTACTCGAAAGCAACAACGAGGGTATATTGGCATACCACGACAGCATAAAAACGGAAACAGGGAAAAACAACCATATGAATACTAAAAAGCGGATGAACCAGGAGATGTTTGAGGTAGGGACAAAGTGCATCAAAAGACATTCATAAGGTGCCTATCCAGTGCGAACACTGAACGGACATAAACAGCCGGATAACGCGCAACGATGACGCTGTAGTTCAGGTAGTCTCTGTCGAATTCATCATGCCATACGGTGAGGAATTTTATCCCGCAGATAACCAAGCAACGTATGCAAACAAAAGACGTGGCTTTGCTAGGTGACGACGGCAGATATGCGACGCGCCGCTTGTGCACCATATTCTGCAAAAGGTGAACCGAATCCTTACATGCATACCTGAAAGATGATATAGAGCAGCGGAACCCAGTTTACTTATCAGCACCTTCACTTCTATAGTTGGAAGACCAGTGATTGCCGCTCCTGAGTCTTACACCAGATATCGGGGAAACAGAACCAAGCGTTCCATTGTAAGCCGTGAGCGGTAACCGTGACGTGCACCAGAACCAACGCAACGAAAACAACATTATTTTGGCATAATTCCGCTAATTCATCATCGCCACTCCCAATCAGCAGGCTTAGGCTAGTCTGGAAAAGCACCAGAGCTACAAGGAGTAGAACCAACTGTGACTCACATGTGGTCTCGATTGTTTCGGACACTTGATTGCCATCATACACCAGCAAACCACTAAAACAATGGAGAGACCAAATTCCACTAATCAATGGAAGCAGACCACATTGTTGTAGAAAAAAACGGAGCTCAGTGTGGTCCCATACACACCAGCAGTATGGCAGAAGAGAAACCCTACTGGTGCTACATCGCAGACTGACCAAAGACAGACCCACATACCTTGTCACAGTTAGTTAAGCTGTTAGCAGAGGTGAATAAACTATCTCCAGGTTCTCGTTGGCAATGATCACCGGGAAAACAAGAAGCCCCTCGCAACTGAGCGTAAAAAGCATGTCGAACGATGGACCAATTCGAAGGACTTGTTCGGGATTTGTTGCGCTACCTCGCGATTGTCAAAAACTGGACGAGGACCGTGAATTCGAAATCGAAAAGCCGTCTTATGTGAACCTAGTTGTCACTCGGCAGACATCCAGGTCTCCTCTTCCAAAAAACCTTTGGGGTTGGCGTGAACTTTGTAGGCATGTTTAAGGTCGTACGACGGTGTATGTATATCTCTGACAAAATTCCCGACGCTAATTGGTGCTCTTAGCCACCTTGAAAGCCACTTCAACCAGATTAGTTAGTTGTTAAAAATCAGATAAACTCAGACTATCTGTCCAGATTGGAAGTTGACATTGCATAAGTATCCACATTAGTGGACATAGACACCTTGTAAAACCGCTGGTGCATGTCCGCTGGCGAGCGGTCGGGTAATTGAACCAAATATCTCGGTTACGAATTCTGATCGTTCCTATAGCTGCATCTCTCCCTATGTACAATTAGGAGTAACATAACAGTCACCTTCCTTGCAAAAATAACACACCAGCATACAGGTAAGAGCCAGTTCTCATGAAAGTGTGAGAATACGCTGCTCGAACATGATGATGAAAAAACGTAGCGCTACGCAAGTAAACATCATGCCAAGTCAAGGTTACATATGAACAAGCTAGCGCATGCTAATGTAGGTCGCCTCCAAGCTAGTAGTATGTGCGCTGTATTTGCCCATACTAGTCTACTTAGAAGTGTTTATAGATCATAACCAGTTCTCAGATTTAGCAAACTAATTGATTGAAACATGCGTATTCTAACCGAAGATTAAAACGGAGTCCTGTTCTCTTTCTTGGTAGAATTAAGTCGCCTCTCTTAAAACATGAGGAACCCAATCGAGAAACTGTACCGAGCGGATGTGCAACAGTGCCAAAGAAGGAAACTCCTGTGTTAGGACAAACAACAAAACATCAGTCGGATAAAAGCAAACAACCAAGTAAAGAGCCAATTCGGATAGAAGACTGTCACCATCTTTGTCTGCCACAGCACGTAGTGGATCGGTTACGACCTATATGGGCCCACTTTGAACAGTCCCCACCTCGATTGACTCGACCATCCGCAGAAGACGCTTTGACACCGAGCTTTCGATTTGCAGATGTGCGTAGCCGTCTTCGGAAAGCGAAAGAAGAGATGAACGTGGATTTGGACGAAATGTTCTCCAAACTTGGCCTTAATGTGGATGAACTAAAGTCAAAACTCGACGCGACACCCATAGTGGAGGAGAAAGTTCCCAAGCCTGAGGAAAAATCAGAAACCCCGAAACGAGAAACACCACCGTTGGAAGACATGTGTCCATCGCCAATTCCCCCACATGATGCACCACCAGCTAAGAAAAGAGTCTGCCGAACGATAGACTACCTCTATGATTTAGTTGAGGTAAGTGCATTGGCTTACTTGCGCTACAAAGTAATGGCAGGACAGGATGAAGAGTATTGCACTGGAACGCAAGTTTCTTGTAGAAATGTTAAGACAAACACTTGATCCTTCAGTAGATGTGCTTATAGCTTTTAGGAAATCCACTCCAACCAGCGTCAGGCAAAGGAAACAATAACATGCTTCGTTACCACTCAATGAACAATGACTTATCTCGGGTAAAAAAAACCAGTTGCTTGACACGTCCCACAAGTTGGTGAGGGTAAAAGTACAATTATCTAAAGATTGGTGAGTTGTCTGTTGGAGTGTTTGTCTAGCAGATACGCTGCTGAATAATAGTAGTGTAGGTGGGAATTGAATGTGAACGACGAGAGAAAATGGGGACAGTTATAGTTGTTGTACTCTGTGTGAAAAGTAAACACGAGAATACTCACTTCTGTACCGCATCCTCAGGCTTATGTAACATGCTAATCCGGTTTGGAGGGGCAGTAAATATATATTCCAAAGTTGCACAGTTTAGGCAACGAAGCGGTGGGGGCGAAGGGCAAGATCCAATCGTTATTTGAAAATATCCAAGGTGGGGAAAGGAACAATGAATTTTGGAAGAGAGTTCCAGGGTTGGTAAACCTGAAGAGAAAAAGAATTCCGCCGGCATTCCAGGCGGCTAAACTTTGCACACAATTTCAGAGGATTACCTCTGAGATTGGTGTTATAGCTGAGTTTCAGTAAGTGACGGTATACGTGATTAGGGTCACACAATATTTGTTAGCCTAATATGCGATCGCCGCGCAGCCTTCGGCAGCGGCCATTGAAAACTCCCAGTAACTTCAGCCTTTGGTAGTAGAACAGATTTCGTAGACCCTTGAGGTTCTTTGTGGCCCTGTATTATGGCTTCTCTAGTACTTCTATGTCCCGCTTCAACCAAGGTTACCAAGCTTGGAGGGCGTATTCAACGTGAGGGCGCACGTAAGAAGTATGCATCATGGGGAAGATGGATGGGTCGAATATTCCGAATGCTCTCTGTAGCAAGCCGACGTGCTGGTTTGCTCTCTTCGCAGCTGCCTCTGACTGGTTTGAACAGTTAAGGTCACTTTGAATGAGCACACCAAGGTCACGTTCTTGGGAAGCTGTTTGCAATACATGTGACCCAAGCCTACACACGTAGACATGCGTATAGCGTAACTGAACAGCGTAACATTTTTCCACATTGAACGGTAAGGTATTCAGAACTGACCAGGTTGAAATCGTGTTGAGGTCACGCTAAAGCTTTTCCAGGTCGTTCGGTTCTTTGATCCCTCGCCATAACTTGATATCATCCACGAAGAATAGGAACACGGAAGCAATTGTCCTCGCTAGATCCTTTATGAAAATCAAGAATAGACGGGGCCCGAGCACAGTCACGTGCTGGATGGAAATAGTGAGACATCACACACACCCAAGTCACAGTAATTTGAGCATCAACTTGAGCACGGACTACGGTTTTCTTCAATAAAACATGGTGCTGTTTCTCTGGCAACCAGTCTTGCAGACGAACAGCAGTCAAGCCCAACCAAGACACTGAAAACGCCTAGCTGAGCAAGCCAATAAGAGAGCAGTCTTATACAGCACGGATCAGCTGTTAACAGCCAATAAGGCTGCCAACTTATGCGTTAAAACAAACGTGGAGGATGCGCACAAGAAAAATGAAAGCTTGCAATAACAATGTCACTGAAAATGAATTTGAATTAAGCGTTTCTCATGATAATGACTAACACAACACAGTTGTAATCAGATAAAGGGAGTGCGGTCAAAATACACTCGTTTTCGAATCTGATTCAAATACTTGTTTCAATGATTGTCGGTTCAAGCGTTTTTGGGTTAGGATCATCTGCGGCCATTTATAAGGCGATTTAGCAGCAATGAAGCCATCCGACGGGTGGACACTTCGTCATGGAACGGAAATAAGTTCCAAATTTCCGAGAGTATAGTTAATTTAGAGATGTTTCACCCCACTCATGTCTATGTTTATGGCATTAACTTCAAAGGTGACTGGGCTCACAATGACTGAGAAAAGTATGTGATACCATTGCCCAGAGATGACCAGACATTTGACTTTGGACCTTGGAACACATGGGGGACTTGTTCGAAAAACCACGCTTCTGCGAGTTTTTTCTGCAGGTTTGTATTAGTAGTCGCTACTTTCAATAAGACATCCCAATGTGTAATGTACAGTGGAAGAAAGTAAGAATCAGCTGAACGTCTAGGATACAGGCCCGCGCAGAATAAACACGGATCAGCCTAGCAACGATGCGCAGGAAGACATAGTGGACTGACCGAGACACGACTTCCACACCCTTGATGTACGCAGTCACCAAAAATGCTAGTGATCGCTCTAACAGACTGTGCACAAAAATCTACACCAGGTACCATAGTGGACGAATTTAATAGCATAAAGGTACTTCTCGAGAACAGATATCCGGAGCGTATCACTGAGACAAGTGTGTGTGCACCGATTCTAGTGTGGAGGATGCGCGAAGCACTCCAAAGGTTGAGTCGGATATCTGCAATCAGAGCACCTAAATAAGCCGCCAGCTGTACGCCGTAACGACGTTTCTCTGCTACGTGACTACCATCAGTTGCGCGCGGGCTGAGTATACCGCGAGGATGCCCATCCTTACGCGGATTCGAACCGGTGACCTTATGGTTGCAAACCAGGTGCGCAGACCACTCAGCCACTAGTCGACACCTAAGTTTGATAGATTAATTAAGTAAAATTGGCGCCCCATGAAAACGTAATAGGATTGAGAAATGAAGGTAGAAATTGCAAGATAAAACGTAATGGAAAATGTCACAAATGAAGGAGCTAGGCATCAAATGGTGGGGCTGAAAACTAGATATAAGAGGTCAAAAGTAGGAGCTACATGAATTTTGTGACTGCACTGTGTCGGTGCTCTGGAAGGGTGTCCGATTCAATAATTAGCCAATCTGCAGCAGATTTACTTTTCTATGTATACATGTTATTTCCAAGTGAACAATTATACAGGCTATCAAAAACTGACTACCTAACAGTTTCATACCATTCACTACTTACAATGACACTGTACTGTAAGACAACAATCCAAGTTAATGTGACAGCTGCAACTTTGCACTGTTGTAGGACCGTCAACGAAATCAGTCGGATGCTCCAAATGTGTTGACACGTATCAACGCCCGAGCACACAGTTTGTCAGATCTTAGTGAGCGGCTACACATACCCGAGCACGAAAAGCGAACCGGTCCTATCGGAATGGATATACTGACATTGAAAATGTGCAGCATGAGGTCAAACCGTGGTCAGAAAGTGCACAGTACGAATTTTTCAAAGCCCCAGAGAAAGCAAACTTTCCTGAAACCAACGACACACCGTATTGAAACAGTAGTGTTAACAAAACCAGATGTTTTATCTGGAAATCACTTACAAAGAGAGGCAAGGCCACCAGGCAGAATAGCTTCGAAGGAACAGCGAGGTGCCAGCAATCAACCGCTTGGTCGCTACGACAAAGCAAGACAAAAGGAGACGCATGATGATAGAATGCATACGTCCTTGGATGGACACACCAGTGTACAAGAGACGAAAGGGTGGCACGAATTACGGTCGTCCTTTAGACAAGGAGAACAGTTCGCGCACCCAACTATACCTCATTCAATCTGGTCGAGCCCAGAAGCCCATCCAGTACAGTATCCCCGAATACTCGAGGATGAGAGAAGACATATGCTTGATGTTGAATGGCTATTCCTTGACCCGTCGCCAGAACACACTGTAGCTCCAAGTCACCCATTGTGGGACACACCAGAGGAGCTAAGAACTTCCACTAATTTCACTCACTTCTACTTATGAGTCGTTCAGAATAGGTGTGCATATATTTCCATTTTCATTATAATCAATACCATAGCTTTTAAATCATCAAATATATGGAACACAAATAGAGCTGGTTAGCAACTTTTGGGATGGAGGAACTCGGAGTTGGAACCAATGCATCCAATGAGTCCACAATGCGTCACACTTGTGTACAATCAGTAGTGGTTCCGAAAGAAAAAATATACTTAAGAACGAGTATTTGCAGCCGTCCCCTTAAAGTACAAACGCGTCAACATTTGATGATATCTGGTTCGCACTGGAGTGGTGATTACCTATATCTCGTGTAAAATGACCACTTATCGTCTATCCTAAGAGAAAAGCATAAGCAGTACGTTTGAAGCAAACAGTTAATTTTCACTTGTTCGTCCGGATTAGTACAAAGATATGTTGTGCAAAATGTGTAGTTCATCAGAAGGTACGGAGATTGGCTATTGATTGCAAACCTGAAACACGGTGTCCCCTTTACCCACTTAGTCAACGCAGACAGAAGCTGCAATATGTTAACATTAGGATTGTTCTCCTCAGTCGTATACGTAATATATTTGGGCAATAAATTAACGTATGTAAAAGTGGAATGAAAATACACGGGTAAATTAAAGTTGAGCGATCAAGACCAAGATAATCTGATAGGCTGCTTCAGTTGCTTTTGGGCGCACAATATCGGTCGGTTTACCGCAAGCAGTAATGCTACACCAATGTCGAGAATTTTCGAGTTTCGGTTGAATAATAGCAGTTTGTAGGCCTTCGATAGATCCACGTGATAGCCAGTCATGATGAAGTTTTGTAGTAGACGAGGTGGGGTTCCGGCTCTTCAGTTGATCCTTCCTTCTAGGTTGTACCTTAGATTGTCTCAACGATTTCTGGAGGTGCTCAATCACCCTTTAAAGCAGTCCCCGGTAGGTACTGCCTATATAGACGTCACCGTAGCTGCAGGTGAGCTGGTAAATAACATGAGAGGCCAAACAAACTGATGAACTGTAATTGAGCTTCAGTCTTCGTGTGATGTGAAGGATATGTAGAGTGTTTATGCCCACATACGCGGAAGTAACGCTAGCCTGCGAAAGCAATAATGGTTCATAGCCGAACGACGCAGACAACAGAACACGACTAGCTGGCGGCATGCAAACGCGTATTCTCGCCAGAACGGGTACGGAGCATCGATCAACTAAAGCCAAGCCACTTGTGAGTGTGTAATCGATAGACAGACAGACGCACACGGTCGATGCTGATGTGGCACGGAGTGGAGTTGATGACTCATACGCCACATTCCTCCTTCCTTTATTTGTTACTCCTTCAGGGAGCCTGATCAACTGGATGGCGGACTCTATACCATTTCCCGGCCAAGTTGTCCTCTTGGGCAACAGAAACAATCTGAGGGGGCATTCGACATGAGTCTACTCAATTAATTTGTTCCGTGCGTAAGCCAGTCACTTGTGCAGGTGTGTATGTGTGCGTGTATAGCCCGTCGCCTTCAGCCGATTGGACCTCAGACGCACTAAGTCATAGGGGTGAAGGTGAGACGATTCAGCTCCTACGCACGGAACAAATTAATTGAGCACACTCATGTTGAATGTCCCCTCAGATTATTTCTGTTGCCCAAGAGGATAACTTGGCCGGGAAATGGTGTAGTCAAATGGCGTACAGGTTGGGCTTCTGGCCGGTTTGTGGTATATGTGACCGCAGCGACTATTGCTTCGGTTGACGGGCTTGGCAATATGTCGTCTGGATCGGTTGAGACGGAACCACGGCGGACGTGGTCCATACGACGCGTAACCACCCTGTTGTCCGGTAATGCAACCCTCGCTCTCTGGTCTTCCATTTCGTGTAAGTCTGCAGGTTGCCAAGTCGGTTCGTAGGGCAATTTGATGTAAACTGGCTCGTTCTCACGGAGCTGTCAATGTGATGCCTTTCGATCGTAGCTTTCTTTTGATTTCCCTTGCCCTTCATACTGGTGATACCTAGGTGAGCTTCGTGCAGTTTCTCCAGGACATGATGTCATAACCGAGGCGGTATAATAGCTCTGGACCCCCATAAGAGGCAGTCATCCTCGAGACTTAATTCTGTACGCCGGGTGAAGTAAGGCAACAATTTCGGGTCACATTTATCTGACCAACCCTGGAAGACCAAACGTTTAGCTTTGTTGCGGAGTACGTCACAGTCTGTCTCACGGCGGATATCCGCGTTCAACACCGTCTTCCTGGTCAAGTGCTGCATTAAATGGACTAATTCAGTTGGTTCCAATTCACAATCTGGCAAATGATTTAACGGCAGCCGGCTCAATACATCCGCAATGGCGTCTGCTTTTCCAGAGACATAAGAGATAGTGTAAGTGCAGGCCGATAACAATAAGGTCCAACGTTGTATACGGGAAGATGACATCAAGGCTAATGAGGGTTTATGATCAGTAAAGCTTTCGAGACTTCTTTCCCGAAGATACTGGTTAAACCGAATATAACCGCCAACGCCTACTTATCCAATTGTGCGTAGTTTTTCTTTGCCGGTGCTAAGCTCTTAAATTCAAAAGCGATGGGTCTCACAATCTGATCATCCATGTTGTGGGACAGTACGGCGCCGAGCCCTGATGCTGTGGTGTCACATCGAAGAGTGATGGGCCTCCTCGGATCAAAATATACTAGCAGATTAGCCTTAACCATGAAATCGAAAGACTGGTTCTTTAGCTGACCACTGCCACTTGGTGATTTTTTGTAGTAAAGCGTACATTGGTGGGAGGGTGGTGGCCAAATCAGATAGGAGGCGATTATAGTGTGTTACCAAACCTTGGAAGGATTGCAGCTCACTGACGTCGCATGATCTTGGAGAGTCATGGATGAGCGGGATTTTTGTTCTTAGCGGGTGCAAACCGTGTTTATCCAAACGGAATCCAAGGTACTGAACACTGTCTGCGAAAAATAGACATTCAGCTTGAGTCCACTGTCTTGGAGACGTTTCAAGACCGTCGTGAGCGATGTTATGTGTTCGAGATCAGCGCCACCAGAAATTAGAATGTCATCTAGATTAGCATATACATCGGATATTCCTTTCACCAAATTGTCAATAATCCTCTGAAATATTGCCGGTGCAGAATGTATCCCAAATGGGTCTGTTTTTATGGAACCAACCCATGTGCGTAGTGATGGTTGTTATCTCCCTGGCGGATTTGTGCAGCTCTGCTTGGGAGTAAGCGTGGTTTAAGTTTGGAAAACTTCTGGCCACCTGACAGAGTTGCGTATAAGTCATCAATCCGCGGAATAAGGTAGTGTTCTGACGTCGCGGCTGACAATTTGTAGGCACCCCAGTTACAGACGGTGTCATCGGATTTTTGTGCTGAAACAATTGGTGTGGTCCAAGATGAGTGGTGCACTGGCGATAATATTCCATCTTCTTGGAGGCGCTCCAGCTAGAACTGAACTTCCATCACCCTGCCGTAGTTGGGAAAAATTTAGTCGCGCAGTAAACACATGTTGTTGTGAACCCCAAAGATCATAAAGAGATTTCAGACAATGTAACAAGGAAGCGCTTCCATACAACCGTAGCGCATCGAGTTACCGCTGAAACTCCGCACCCGAGTGATGTCTCAGTAGTTAAACAGATTGTAGCTCAATAATGGTAATGTGAGGATAAATAGCTTTGAAGAGTTCAAGGTAGGCACAAAATGTTTTTTTCTAAGGAAATCAAGCAGCAAGTGAGGTCTTGGAAGCCGCTACTTTCAAAACCGATCCGGTGGAATCATTTAACTTATAACGAATAATTCTAGATATAGAATCCGTCGCCAATGTTAGTCTACACGCGAGGAAGTAATGCTAGCCTGCGAAGGCAATACTGGCTCATAGCCAAACGACGCAGACAACAGAACAGGACTAGCTGGCGGCACGCAAACGCGTATGCTGGCCGGAACGGGTACAGAGCCAAGCCTCTTGTGAGTGTGTAGTCGATAGACAAACAGACGCACACGGTCGATGTTGGTGTGACACGGATTGGAGATAGTGATTCATACGCCACATAGACACGCGGAGGTATAGGTGGGCGTTACAGCACACCTAAGTTTGTGACCAATTTCAATTCTACCTTTCAACGGGGACAATATTTCTAATGAAATTGTGCATTCCTTGCTCAACCCTCTGTGCTATTAGCTTTTTTGGTGGGTCTACTGTGGAGCTGAATTAACTTAACTGAATACCCGTTTGACAATAGAGTCCTATGTATGAGCTCCTACTCACTCTGCCCCGTCTCTGGACTGCAAATACGCCTGGCTCTGTAGAAAAGGGTTTTGACGAGAGCACGTTTGTATGCAACCGAGTTAAAGCTGTTGAAATGCATGGATTGCCCACTCCAGGTTGCTTTGCGGTGGACGGTGCGTTGGAGTGTACCTCAAGATTAGCATTTGATGTGAATGTCTAAAAACGGGCAGGTTATCTTGCTGTTCCCTCTCAACTGACACGGAGAGATTGGGGTGAATCGGATTTAAAAAGAGTGACGATTCGTGGTGAAGATTCGCTGGTGAAGATTAAGATGTCATCCACGGAGGATTTATACAGCCTAGCTTTACTATTTATGTTATCGGTCTTCCTTTCGATTAGTCTCGAAAATATGTCCGCCAATACCGGACATAGAGTGCTTCCCACTGTCTGTACGCGGATCCCTCAAATTCAAGCTGAACATTTTTTATGCATATTGATATCAGGTCACTGAGGTACTCAGGAAATCCAAAAGATAGGTTTTGGCTAAAGATTAAAAGACATAATTTGTCAACCGTTTGACGCAAGGGTAGGTTAGTGAAAAATGAATGCACATTTATCGAGTACGTGCGCTCTGTATGCGGCAATGTGTGGCCTAGTATATCGAGTAATTGGGAGGAATCCTTCAAACAATATGTAGCCAGGAGTTTAAGAATTGGTCCCAACAGTTTCGCCAACCAACGAGCGACGTTGTGACATTGGAAGTCGTTCATGCACCAAATTGGTCATGAGGGACTTCCCTACCCGTGTATCTACGGTGTGTCTCCCATTCTCGGGTCTTCCTTCCCGTCATCCTCAGCTATCGATACTCTGATTCGGAGATGTACCCATGCAACAAAAAGATTTGCAGTTTTACCGAAAGCTGCTCTTCTGCCAGATGATTGGTGTCTACA